AAAGATATATTGAACGACATGTTGAAAAAAGCAAGGAATTTCAGAAGAACACCGTCGCCAACGAGCGTCCGTATGTTGCTCTGTGGAAGCCAGCGGATCAAAATGTCGTAGCATGGCAGGCGTGTCGCACGCTTGCTCTAGCACTGACAGATTAGAGCTACCGGCAAGACGGCTGGTAAAGGGGCAATAATGAAGGCGAAATTGCGGACGGTGCACATCCACCACTTGAAACGGGCTATTTTACAAGCAGGAGCTTAGTGATTGATTGATATGTAAGGTTTAACGTCCCCAAACCACCATATGATTATGAGAGACGCCGTAGTGGAGGGCTCCGGAAATTTCGACCAACTGGGGTTCTTTAACGTGCGCCCAAATCTGAGCACACAGGCCTACAACATTTCCGCCTCCATCGGAAATGCAGCCGCCGCAGCCGGGATTCAATCCCGCGACCCGTGGTTCAGCAGACGACTACCTTAGCTACTAGATCACCGCGGCGGGGCTAAGCAGAAGTTGAATCGAAGTTGCAGAAATTTATTTGGGATAATGACGAAGTCGATGTAGGCCGACGATAACAGTGTGTCGTAATTCCCTCGTTACAGGTAGAGTTCTCACGCAGTTTTCCATATAACATTTTGCCAAGTTTTTGATCCTTCCCTGCAAAAATGAGGTGATAACGTCACTTCAATGAATCAACTAACAGCCGATATAAAAATACGGCTCTTCTAACCGTTTGGGCGTTTATTTATCTTGTGCGAAAGTTAACTTCGCGCTTTTCGTTGCAGCTAAAAATTCAAACTGCGAGGCAAAGCAAAAAGTTACGTTTACAGGAACCAAATGTGCTTGTTAGAATGAGGTACCTAAACATGTCGTTTCACTCTATGATACGCTGCAGACCTTAAAGAAATTATGGAACTTACTACTGATTACTAGTTCGTAATCTGGGGTTTTGCGTCCCTAGACCACTATATGATTATGAGAAACGCTGTAGTGGAGGGCTCCAGAAATTACGCCCATCTCGTGTTCTTTACCACGCATTGAGATCACACAGTACATGGGCCTCTACGATTTTACCTCCATCAAAATGCGACTGCCAGGGCGGTAATCGAACCTCCGACCTTGAGGTCAGCAGCCAAGCCCCCTGTCCACCGAGGCGGACTGAAGGCTAAATCACATGCTCATCTGAAAATATGTGGTTGCTACCTGTTTAGTAAGTAACTCGGCAGTGACATGACTATTGAACCACATGGCCAAAAAGCTTACTCATGAAGGTCGACATTCCTCGGTTGTCGCTTCTTTCTTCCGCGTTCTCGTTGGTCAGGGACTGATGGAGGCGGAAATGTTGTAGGCCCGGATGCTCAGATTAGGGTGCACGTTAATGAACCCCAGGTGGTCAAAATTTCCGGAGCCCTCCACTACGGCGTCTCTCATAATCACATGGTGGTTTTCGGACGTTAAACCCCACATGTAATCATCATCGTGTGTAAGGGCCAAGAGCCAACACAACTTGTCAACCGAGAAATCAATAGATACTGCCTTTTATCGATTACTTTATTCGATAGCGTAAGTTCCTGATCGGAGAATGCTGCTCGGGGGACCCATAGAAATAAGACGTGTCTTCGCAAGGGGCGTAGAAGAGAACGATGTAATTTCGTGGTGTCAGTGAACGTCACAGTATAAGCCAGCGGCGAAATGACGTGACTTTTACACCACGAATGAAACACGAGCTGGAGGTCCTATTGTAATGACAGAGCCACAGAAAGCGACACTTCTAAAACCTATCATTTCATAGTAATGTTTATGCCGTGAACCTTTTCACGAAACGTACGCGGCATCTTGCCGCGTGGGCTGTAGATATATAGAGATAATGAAAAGAGTGAAAGACATGGAGACCAACATGAAGTGTAGTGTGCGGTTTGCTACCCTACAGAATCGCCAAGAGAAACGAAAAAAAAAGATTGAGCAGGGGTCATATGATTACGGTCATTCTTATCATTCTATTTTAGTGGATACAACCGTAAAATCTCTCGGGGTTCTATCAAGAAATAAACAAAAACACAAGAGGTGAAAATGCAATCACCACTGCACGTGAATCATATGTTTAGTGCATTTGTGCTCTACGTATTGCGACTTTTGATTCACATTTCTATATATCATTATTGCACTGTGTGTGTGTGTGTGCGTGTGCTTTTGTTATTTTTAATTCTGTCAGCAAAACCGTCTAAAGTGAGTTTGACAGCTTTATATTTAATAATTTTGTTAATGTTGTGTACTTTTGTAAGCTGTAGTGTTCTGATGCCGCCACTACCACTGCCTCATGCATATGGGGGGGAGGGGGAGAACTAAGTCGAGCGAATACTCGCTTTTATTCTCACCCCCTCCATCAACTGTGTATCAGTGGAAATAAACCATTATTATTATTATTATTATTATTATTATTATTATTATTATTATTATTATTATTATTATTATTATTATTATTATTATTATTATTATTATTATTATTATTATTATTATTAAACGCATTCGAAGCTCAGTAGGCTAGATAGGCGGGATGGTTGGTGCAGAATGATGGTGATATTCGCAAGCGTAAAGAGACGCGGCAGAGTACAGCGTGTCGCAAACATGGCTCTCTGTGTACCACTTCACTTACCCTCGAATTCAGAAACACTCTTTGACTCGAACTTGACTTGAAACCACCTTCGATGCAGCTCTGTTGCTACGCGTCTGTGCGTTCATGCTGCCTTGACACCTGCTAAAGACAGCGCGTTCAAAATGCGTTTGTGCTGCATTGAAGTCGGTGGCAAGTCAAGTTCAAGACTTGCAGCGTTTCTGAATACGTGGTTTATTATTATATGCATGCGCTTCCCATCGTCCGAGTGATTATGGCATACTTGGAGATGAAGTAACTTGTGGGGCTGCACGTTATATGTAGACACCTGCACTGTATCGCATGAGATTAAAAAAGTGCGAAGTAAGCCGAAGAAAGGACAGCGTTGCGTTCATTTGTTTCAGCGCGTAAGGCAATGCCGTTACATTGCTACAGTGAGAGAGCGATTCAATATAAAACAGAAGAAAATAATATAAAGCTATTTTCTTCCTTCCGTCGTGGGGCCATGGCTGGGCGCCTTTAGAGACGGGGAAGGTGGAAGTAATGTTTACAGAAAGAGAGCAGATAGAGAGAAGGGGTTAGTAGATGTATTTTTTCAGTCCAAGCAGGGAGGATTGAAGCCGAGGGGTTCGTCTATAGGGTGTCGAGATCCGCAGGAGCCACCAATTCTCGAAAGGCTCCCATGGCTGGTATCCTGGACCGTGCAGGAAACAGGGAGTCATCCACAGTTGTCGCAGGAAACCCGAGCAGGCTGTAGCGGCGCAACATATTGACTTGTACACTGGCCAGAGGCGGGCAGGAACGAATTGTGTGCTCCATCGTGTTTTTGGCTCAACATCTGTGGCAGGCAGGGCAAGAAGAGCGACCCATGGAGTATATACGTGCAGCAGGCCGGGTGCAGCTGGCGCACAGGTGAAGCAGCAGCCACCCCTAGCGTTTCTCCAGACCACGTTTATACGATTAACGCTGGTGACTCATAGGAAAAACAAATGTGAGGCCACATTGCTAGCTTTGTTTTGAAATATCAACACAATTTCTGCGTCGAAAGTTGAGCTTTTGTCCCACCGCATATCGGGGTTCCAACTGCTTTTTCGCGAACAAGATACGGAGTGAATGTAAAAACAAAAAAAAGATGTTATAGGCAAGGAGGTCGAACAGATAACGAGTTCGTTACATACGTACTTGCGATCCTGTTAAGCGAAAACGAGAAAGCGAGGTGCCACAACTACCGTTTTGCGTTGAAGGTACCGAATAGAAGCATGTTCGGTGCAGTAATGATATATGCGACTTTGCGAGCGCTTCTCGAAAAAGCTTTAGTACGCATCTGAATACCACCGGCACTGCGAAAATTGAGTTCAGATTGCGTGCAGTGACATGACGGTGATAATTCGCAAGTATGATGCAGTTACAAGAGCGAATATTAGCAAATGTGCGGTCTTTTGATATTGCACCAATCTAACAAATCTATTGTCAACACAGAGCTAACCAGCGTGTCTTCGCACATTTATTCGTGAAAACGTCAAAGTGATTCGCCCCTTGTTATCACAAGTTATTATTGTTTGCTTAGCCAGTGCTTCATAAAGTCAGTGCTGCATTTTATTTTTTACTTGCGTGGTTCCCAATGTCTGATTTGCCATACTGCTTCAATTGAGATGTATTCTTAAGCTGTCACAGATGTCTTTCGAAGGCTTCCTGATTTTTTTTCTCTTTTCTGGAGAAGTGTAAAGCGCAGCCGACGCATACAATTGCATTTTCTACAAATCGCCACTCTAGGCTATTTCGCGATAGACTATCTGTTATAGAATGCATATTTTAGGAACAATTTCAAACACTACGGCCATTTTTTTTACCAATGCGTGCTTTTTAAACTCAGCTTTTACGCCAATGGACCCTCAGCAATGCCATTTATGGCTGTGCTTGTGGTGGCTTTTTTTAAATGTTCCGTTACTTTCCCACATCTATTGCTCTTCTTGTCTTTTATTCACATAGTTAAACTGCACCATCAGTTGATCAATAATTACGGTGTCTTAGGCGATATACTGGCAGAAAACGGGAATTACCACATGACTGAAATTCTGTGGCAGTGCATACAAGCAGCTGCGGGTATGCCATGGTCACTTTTCTTTGCATAAAAAAATCATTTCTTACGTTTCGTTTCATTTGCAGAACCCCAAGATGTGAGGAGAGTGATGACGATCACGATGACAAGTTCGTTCCCGTGGAGTGGCCTGTCCTCATGCCCCTCTCACAAAGAACAGCCTCTAAAGGACGTCTATGTGAATAACTTCTCTTATTTCGATTGCAACATTGCTGGCGCGATGAATACGAAGATTTGTCTGTCCAAAGGCCAAATTCTTTTAATCTGAAAGCACCTTCGTTTGACTCGAACGCAATGGAAGATGCACTCGAGAACATATCCTGTGCCATAGTAAATGGAGGCAATTTCGAGAATGGCAGTGATGTCGCTCCCGCTATCTCTGAAGACTTCCTCGGTCCTCGGTATCACAAGAGAGTTCGCATCGTCATCATCATCGTCATGATAGTGGCTTCCATAGCCGGAAACACCATCGTCTGCTGGAAGCTCGTCTTCAAGCGTCGCCACAGGCGCGTCTCTAAGGCGAGAGTGTTGTTCCTTAACCTGGCCATTGCGGATCTTCTGGTGGCTTGCGTCACCATGACGTCACAAGTGGTGTGGGAAGTGATGGGCCGCGTGTGGATAGCTGGTGATGCCTTCTGCCGCTTATTCAAGTTTCTGCAGACTTTCGCGCTGGTCTCGTCCACTTACATGCTAGTGACCATTGCTGTAGACCGACACATCGCTATCGCCACACCACTGACGCCCAGCCCCGACCCTTGGAAGTTGGCCGCAGTGACGTGGCTCGCGTCATGCATGCCGTCGTTGCCGAACGTGTACGTGTTTCACAATGTCGAAGTCGCGCCCGGAAAATGCTTCTGCGCGTCTATATTCTACGACCGCGACACGCCTTTGTACCATCGCCAGATCTACATGGGGTTTGTGTTCTTTATGGTGTTTGTGGCGCCACTCATGCTGCTGGTGACATTCTACACGGGCATTCTGTGGACTATTTGGAAGCACAGTTCAAGAAGCGGCAAAATGGGACAGCAGACCAGCTCATCATTGCCACGTGCAAAGGTTGGTTCGTACATAGAAGTTTGCCACATGTCTTTGTAAAATAAGTTTAATCATTACCCGTTACTAACTTGTTCAAAAACTGCATAGATCTTCACTCCGCAGTTTTCGCTTTCCTGCAATGCTGGTAAAGGCGGTAGTGCTGAGGCTATTCATGATCCGCACAAAACCATTTTGTGACATGGCAATACACTTATTATTTGTCATTATTGGACAATCCGATAGCCCATGAGGCGCTTGTTTCCCTACTTTATAAAAATGTTACCGATTCGTGGATAACTTGTGAGCCAGAAAGTTTCGGCAAGCCAGTTCCTAAATGAGCCTACTACTCGTTCACACAGTTCATTTTCATGCGGTATCTGCATAGCGAGTAAATTTCAGGCAGGAAGTTTAACGCTTTCTTTAGCATATAGGTAATTATACTTGGGAAAACAAAAAGCTTCGAGGAGGAAGAAGACCAGCAAGAGAAAAGGCAGGGAGCTTAATCAGGCACATGCCTGGTTCGCTACCCTATGGGGGTACTGGGAAAGGGGGAGTATAAAGATGAGAGAGAGAGCGAGAGAAATGGAGAGGAAAGGCAGGGACAAAATGAGACCTTGTAAACTGTTGTGAGGTATCGCCACAGCGAAAATAGTGTTCCTCACAAGTGCAAGTAGCACAGATCTGTATTTACGAAAGCACTTACCCAAGAAGGGCTCATAATGAAAAATTTCACCCAATCATGTTGAATGGGATAACGTTAGCAAGTACAGCTAGCCAAAGGCAAAAAACATTTACCAAAGAGAAAAAAAAACGTATTTTTCATTGGGCCCGAGTTTTCTTCCTATATACGAATCTACCTCACATTTCCTTCATTAGCCACCTCTCTTTGTTTCTCTCTCTCTCTCTCTCTCTCTCTGTTTTACAGAGTCGGTATTGTCTTTTTTCATCGCGCTGGTATGACATCGTCAACGGGACACTTTCTTCTTGATGAACTTCGCTATCTTTTTTATTGTACGGTTACTGTCTAAGCAAAAACCGTACAATGAAGTAGTTAAGAGCTAGTGAAGCATGTATACTCTTTCATAGCTGGCAGATTTTGAATTCTAAGTTCTGCAGTCACCGTTTCATTACTCCGTCGACCTACCCAGCTCAAACAGGCTAATTTTTACCACCCAATTACGTTCTTCTGTGCACGTTAAAAAAAAAAGGCTGACTTCTCACGTCCCTGTAGATTCGCCAGCTGTCAAAGGCAGTATTTAAAAGCTCCGCATTGCTCAGAGTTGACGGATCCGATAACTATATTGTTTCCCTCTCTTGTAGCTCCCTCATAATTGGTGAATCTATTGCACCATGCATTACACGTAATTAGCTCCTACTTAATGTTTGTGAGCCTACTTGCACGGAGATGCGAGGAAGATGCACTTGGTGTTTCAGGCAAAACGCTATTAACATTAGAGGGCATTGAAGCTTTCGCTACATTTCACGAACAAACTTGCGTAAGGATGTCCGAAATTTTGGAAAAAAAAGTATTAGCGCTTGTGTACAGTAGACCCGTGATCGGGAAGTGAAAGAACGTTGAAACTTTGACACCAGCATATAACGTAACAGGGTTGGAATACTCACAGGAGTGCTCTTTTGGCGTGATGTAGGAGGCTACACGCCCCCAACTACCTTCCGACGTTGAGAACGCCCAGGAAACTAAAGGAACGCTGGGTTGGCTTTGGCATTTATGAAAAAAAATTTAACTTATGCGCTGTCCCTGGCTTCTTTTTTTCAAATCACCGGATCACTTTGTTACTGCGTCGGCGAGTGTGAAATTGTTTCCATGATCGAGCATGTATTTTTTCAATGTGGCATCAGGTGGGATGCCCAGGTGAAGTCACACAGTCCTTACAAAAAAAACGCCAGTGTCGAAATCAGAAGCCCTATCATAAAACATGTCTCGTGACAGCGTTACTCATTCACTGTGTTGGAGGCGTGAGAGCGCTTGCGGAAGCGGAAATTCTGGGCTCGTAGCCGCACGTGCCACAGGCCAGCCACGGATGCAGATATTCGTGGTGCTTATGATATCGACGGTTTACGTGACCACTTGTAGGCGTGTAATAGATATAAAAACTAATAAACTGCCCATCGCAAATGAGCCGCAAGTGCAAGCTCATTATCCACTTCGTAAGACACTTATTCGAACTAAGCGGACAAGAACCCATTATGGCAAATAGCATATTAGTTATCGAGTTCCGGCATTGCTAAATCCTTGAGAGTTTATCGATTTTAATTCACGTACCAAGAATTTGTTTAAATCATTGCTATTTGAAAACAAAATTCAATATAGCCAATTTCCTTCCTATTTCTCTAATCTTCTCAAAGTATGCTTTACTGGAGTGCCACTGATGTTAGTGATGTGTAACTGAACCGGACAATGCATTCAAAGTTTTCCAATATGGTATTGCTTCGTGACATTTGCTGTTATATTTTGTTGTATTGTAAGATGGTAATGTACCAGACGCCTTTACCGTACAAATGATCTGTTCACTGCAGCCAAATTCGTGAACGGAGCAGGAGCCTCAGTGAGGCCTTGGTGCCTTTTGCCACCTTTCTGTAATGTTACGGAATAAAGAAAGCATTATTATTATTATTATTATTATTATTATTATTATTTACCCTGATATACACCTTCTTCCCTCTTTCTTTTTTTTTGTCTTGCGTGTTTATTTGCTTGCTTCTAATTTTTTCATCTTTTTCTCGCGCTGGAGGTGGCTGCCAAGCTGACGAGCGTGGCATTGACCTCTCTCCTATTACCGCGATAGCAATTATATGAGCAGTCTTGATGAGATTTCGCCATCGCCATCACTGTTGCCGGCGCTGTCAGCGTCATGGCGCGTATAAAGTGCAAATTGATGAGGTCCCCCTGCGCATCGTACGTTCGGTCCGCGAACGTACGATGCGCAGTTGGGGTGATGGCAGTTGGGGTGATGGCAGTTGGGGTGAGGTGATGGCAGTACTGCGTGAGTTGGGGTGATGGCAGCGGTCGTAGCCGATATCAAACAAGGTAGCTTCGCGTGGCTTGGAGCTGCTTTGTCACATACTACAATCAGCAAATGTTCAGCAGTTCTACCTCACCACATTAACCTCACCAATTCGAATCACCAATTCGAATCAGGTGACAAAGTTCATAACGATTTGTTCTTTTATTCGAAACAAAAGCAAAACCACAAGACACTTCAATAAACGAAGCCACACTTACGTTCGTAGCCCGCAAGTGTGAAGACTAGGCAAAGTCATGTACTACCCATCATTCTCATTGTCGCTGAATGATTGTAGCGCCAGTCTCCTCTAGTTTTTTTTTTTTTTTTGGGGGGGGGGGGGGGGGGGTAACTCTGTGGTTTAGCTGTCATGGGCCGCTTGGCGACTAGAATAACGCTTCACACCATGCGCTTGTGTTGCTGCTCTTGGAGAGTAGCAGATCGCACATAGACGCAACAAGTGTTTAGTACAGCGAGGATTCTTGAGAGTCAGGCCGTGAGTGTGGGACTGCTGTGTACTAACGGGCCTTTGACGTCATCTTCCACCTGCCTACCAGGAGGCTTGAAATGATGCGCTACGTAAACCAAGTCGTGCGGTGATATTCAGACCATAAGGTACGGTTAGATTCTGGCGTTGATTGGAGGGAGAGAACTTCTTTCCGGCAAAATGCTCTTTTCCTCTGTTTCCGCAGACACTTTCTCCTATCGCGACGTGTATCGGGACACGCATTGCGAGATTTGTGGTTGACCCTGCGTATACCCGTGAAGCAGCCACAGCGGAGTGGACGCACTGTTTGAGAAACAAAACAGATTGCTGGGACCATGTGGACCCTCTCTAGCTTGGCGGCCTTCGCTACATTCGCACTTAGTCGCTGCTCCCATCGATTCGCATGCATTCCAATGGCAGATTTGGCGAGGATGATCTCGCTCGGAGTTACGCGCTCCCTTTGAAATATGGCGGAGTGCTCACGATGTGCCATTGCGATTCAACATTAGAGTGGACCTGCCCTTTCTTGCTTTCTTTTTTTCTTTCTTTCCTTCTTTCTTTCTTTCCTTTCTTTAGTTGCGTTTTGATACTAACTATTTGGAGCAGGCTACTTGTCGTTCTCTGCTGCGTTAGTTGCGGTCTTCCTCGCTATGGGTAGACTTTTCAAGAGCGGAGCTCTTAGAGCTTTTCGTTCTACCGTGTGGTCCGAACAGGAATTATCATATTGTTGAGCCGTTACCTGCGCATTTTGACCTCTTCATTTCGTGCTTGGCTTGCTAAACATATGGAGCACGATTCTTTTTTTTTCATTTCAATTATTTTTCTATCTGATAAAGTGCTCCTCACCTGCTTTCATAATGAACCTTAGTTGGGCGCTGGAAGTTGTGCGCCCAATAAAGAGCGTCATGCCACAATGAATGAATGAATTAATTAATTAAACTTTATTTCAAGTACGGTAGTTTTGCCGGGCGAGGTGGGGGAAGAACGGATTAACTCCCGTCCCTTCCTCTGTCGAATATGATGGCGGTGCCTCAGGTGACCGCTCGAAGAATGTTTTTTTTTTTTTCGATTGCGGTTCATTACGAGCTCCGAAAGCGGATGTTTTGCAGCGGCGCACAAACATGATACGAGTAAATGTGCTGTGAAGCCCTTGCCACTCGCTGCGCGTAGCCTCCGAAAACCAAATCCCGTCTATTGCCGCTTTGGCATCCGAGAGAGAGGACCAGATGACACCTACGCATGAACAGGCCATGCGATCCAGACCACGCGAGCGATGTTTTCGTGTCGTGCCACCGTTCTGTGCGGTCGACTGCCTGTAACGAGCATGAAAGTAGGGCCGGTGCCGTGTGAACATTTACTTACACGTGGGAGGATAAATGAGCCTAATTAACGCTCGAACACGCCAGAAAATTACTTTCGTTCTCAATGCTGGTGACTGCTCGATGCGTAAACAGCGAGAACAACAAAACGCATGCGAAACGGAAGCAGTTCAGCCGCATCTTTCTGCAATG